TTAGTAAAATTATTTTCTGTTTTATCATTAAGAAATTTATTCCGAGCATTTCCAGGTGGTTGCTGAACCTTTTGGACGGTGAAAGCAACACCACCCTTAAAGTTCATACGATCATCTCTCCACTCGTTACTCGAGAGAGCAAAGCTCGGAAGAAGCCGACCCCTTTTCAGTAAATCATCGCTGTCTTCTTTAACAGAGTGTGCACCAGCGTACGGAATACCTAGACCATGGTTAACTCCACTCATCGCTGACTTCTTTAACAGAGTGTGCACCAGCGTACGGAATACCTAGACCATGGTTAACTCCAATCAGACGCCAATCTTTACTCGTAGAAACATTAAATTCCTGACAAATACGTTCGAATGCCCACCTATTGTACGGATTATTTGGTGCATTCCATGCACATTCCTGCAGTAATGGAGCACAAGTATACGTCTAATCTGATAGTACCCTTGAAATGATAAAACAGACTTATTTAGTTCAAATCCTGGGGCATAAAGAGATACACCACATCCTGTTGTGGCACACCATATGGCAAAGTTTAACTGATTCTGCCAAAATTGCATCGGATTGTGGAACCAATCGTGCACCATTTTATCGCTAATTGCCGTGAACCTGTATTTTTCAAAGATATCAGGGAATTCAACAAAAGAATTAGCACCAGAGGCACTTACTAAAATCGACTGATCAGTAATGTAAGTTGATTTCATATTTAAGTTATGATATAGTATCATTGTATATCTAATATGTATGTTACACTTCCGGGAATAACAAATGGTAAGTCTATTGAACTGCTTCATACTATCGATAACTCGGATGGACAACTTGAAGTCGCTTTCTGCGATGTAACGTATTACCCGCAGTGGACCAATATAAGTGCTGCAAGAGGTAATAATAAGATATATATATTAGGTGAAATAGATGGAGACATTTACATTATACTTGATGGGTATTACAGCATATGCTCATTTAATGATGAAATTTTTAAACCTTTGGGAGTTAGTCTTACAAAAAATGAGTCGAATGGGATGCTGATTTTAAAAGCTGGAGAAAAGGGTGTAAAGCTTCTCCCATACTTAGAAGTTACACTTGGATTTGCACGCGGAGGAGTAATACCACCCAACAAAACAGTGCATGGAGTTAAATTACCCGATTTAGTTCCCTATAAAGAGTTGTGCATCCATCTTGATCAGATAAGCACGACATACAATGTCATACAATTGCGCTTTCCGATCTCGGAGACACAGAAGGATTCGGTAAACCCGGTACCAATGGTAAGTTATACGCTTACACTTACAAGATAATGTATACAAACAGAAAGAAGTTACATTCACAGGTAATCTAGGAGATATAAGCGATGTCGACGTTAGTAGACTCAATAAAAACACTTCATATAATCTTACTCGCAAACGATGATAATAAATGGACTATGGTCGACGCAAACATCGAGTGGCTATTGAATATCGTCATTACCCAACCGTATGTGATGATGGGTAAGGCACATAATTTAACTAAGATAATGAATAGTGGGGCCGTACTTGGGCCTTATATTCCATCAAAACGAAAAAGTGTGTTAGTCTCTCCCCTGCCAGAAAACCCAGGTCATTTGTTATATAGTCGTCCGGCATCAAAAAACGTTAGTTTAAATTTGGTTACTGAATTCAATGATATTAAACAGAACTTGTTCGGAGATGCACCAGAAGATGCCTTCGAAATATTACCAGGTCTATCGATTAAATGGCTAAAGAAACACTAACGTCAATGTTGTAGTATTATTCATATTGGAGCATCACCTGTTGCAACCCTTGAGGGGGTCCAAATTATTAAAAGTGACAGCATTTCTCTTACTAAGATATTCATGCCGTATAATATACATTTGATAAGGTTGATGTATACTCTCAAAACATTTAAGCAAAACCAATTAAAGACTATTATATGATATAATAATAATATGGATTTATATCCAGCGCTCGATGAAGTTGATGGATTTGGATTTCATCAAATAAGCGACATAAAACATCGAATAGAGAAGGAGAGGGAGTTGAGACTTGGATTGTATAAAAAAGTATCGCAGAGCCTTGAATGCTCTCGACTGAGTTGACACCGCGCTTGTAACGGCTAGCATGGGACTCGGTGTAGCCGGTGTTGGTTTATTATCAACTATAATCGCCGCGCCTATCGTACTTGGCATGCAAATAGCCGCCGGAGTCTCAGGACTGGCAGGAATAGCGATAAAATTCATTTCTCGTAAGTTGCAAAAGAAAGTATTAAAACACGATAATATTCGGATACTCGCCGAAGCAAAGTTGAACAGCATTGAGGATCATATTTCAACAGCAGTGGCTGATTGTAAGATATCGGAGGAGGAGTTTCGTTTAGTGTTGTCAGAACTCACCAAATACAACGCAATGAAGCAGGAGATTCAATCAAAGACCATTGGTATTAGCAGCGAAGACGAGGAAAAAAAGTTCATAGAACAGGGGAGACAACAATTAATCCGTGTCAAAACCAACATTTAGAAGAATGCTTAGATAAGTAAATATATAATAATGGAATTTATGCTCAGGGACAAAATTATCAAATGGAGAGAATTACCACAAGGTATATATTATATCAGTTATATCAAACCAACCAAATACGGTCATCAATTGTTTCTTTCCAATTACCAAGAAGAGTATATAGTCTGGTCTCCTAGTAAAATGAACGAAGAACTTAGTAAAAATGTTGAATATCCCTTCGTTTAAAATAATGGTATACGTATGAATAAAAATAATAGAGAATATTTTCATTACAATTTAGTTTAGTCTCATCATCGTTTTTGTACTAATGGTATCATTGATTGACTCAAGGTAGTGGTGGGCTAGAGCCAATTTAACTTGATTCTTATGACTATCGTTGAATCGCATCATCATTTTTGCATAAAAAATTCCCCCTGTAGTAGCAGTATAGGTATATAAATCTGGCTCCAGTTGAAGTGAGCCAGAACCCCTATTACCTATACTACTAATTCCTTCAGGGTTTTAGGAGTTTACTATTGTTTAATTTAATTTTGTAAAGAATTTAAGGGGTTGTTGTCATTGCAATGTTTCTGATAATCTGCCACCTCTTCTATGTTTCTACAATTTTATCTGTGATTGTGCATACTTTTTCAAGTATTATAAACCTCCAGTGACGTCATCTTGTTGTTCTCCAATCAGATTATAACTCATAAAGGGGGATGTTATATAATATCTCAGATATTCTATTTATTCAACTTCTGGTGATATTGTATTGTGAATGTATTTTGAATTTGTACACAATGTACATAATGAAATGGCAGAATGATGTAAAATCAAATAACAAAAGTTTTCTTTGTATTTCCATGGATCAAACTTGCAACCTACATATCTGTAGCCCAGTGAATGAACCATGATGCATGCATGTACATTGCTTTCAAAAATCTCTTTTTCAAGTACCTGTATGCCAGGAAGAGATATTTTATGTATTGGAGAAAACACACTTACGAGGTTTTGGTAGACAGACCATGCCCTGGGGAGAGGGGAAATCGCCCCCGCGGTTTTTCCCTACCCCCAGGGCATGCTCTGTCTACCAAAACCGAGGGAAAGTGTTTTTCCATACTTATAAACCATCTAAATTGATTAAATGTTATAACGAGCATCTATAAATGAGGCGCTTCATTATAGCGCTTCCTTGAAGACGTGATATCATAACTTGCACATGAAATTCGCTGACTTGCCAGGCGTTCAAGTGCACTTGGATGTGTCAAAAACAAAACACAACTAAAATACCTACTTTAAATGAAAGTGAAATCTTCGGTTTCTAAATGTTTGTGTTGCAATATTCCACTTCTTTTAAACCTTTCAAAACGAAAAAATCGCAAATTTTAAAGGTGTTTTTTTTTGCTCTACAAGAAATTTCGACTTTAAGCAATCCAAATGTTACCTAGAGGTAGTTGTGACGTAACGGCTAGCAGTTACTGCACGTGCAAATTGTGCAGCATTGATAAGCACTTGTTTAAAGCACGTGTTTTGAAACCTCGCTGTCCTTTCACCAGAGACTCAGAAGTGATGTCGCTTTTAAATGTCCACGCGGAACTGTACACATGACATTCAATTTTAATTGAATTAAAATTTTGAATTGCTACTTGTTGTCATTTTTTCAGTTACTTGGTTAAACTTGGGATTTGAGGTTTTACATTCAAAGTAAAACCTCCCGAACGAAAATAAAACCTCATAATAGGTTTTACTTTCAAAGTAAAACCTCACAATAGGTTTTAATGCCTATAGAAAGAACTCTCTTACTTAATAGAGATCCAAATGAATAGGTTTATAAGTCTGTTTCTTAAGGTGCATGGAAAGTATGTTTGAAACATAAAATTGTTGATAAATGTTGTTTTAAATTTCATTGGTCGGTATAGAACTCAGATAAAACACTTCCCCTGGGTTTTTATGTGATTTAAACCCCTCAGATTCGGGTTTTAAATGTCATGAAAACCCTTGGACGTCTTTTAACCTACAAATAAACACATGGAAGCAATTATTTTGTAGTTTGGTACTGGTTAAGCCGGTTCTTTCTTAAAAGATTGTTTGGACTGTAGGGACAGGTAACTCTCTTCTTTATAGTTCTATTGCTTTTGGATCAAAGGTGAATGGACATTGGTGAGGTCAGGTTAGAAGTCTTTGGTGGGAATGTTCTGGGACATTCAGGAAGACGGAAAGCATTTCCATCACCAACCTTTCTTGTAATGCAAACACCTTTCTAGTCCAAAAAAGGGTCCCTCTGTACCTCTGATCCTGGATTGTGGCACCAGTGAACTTTCTGTTGCACTGATCCTTTTGGCTCCCAGAATAAATAAGTACTATTTGCGTTACATTTGTGAAAACCTGACTATATTCCTGCCTGCAAAATGTTTAGTGCCTTTGGTCTAAAAGAATGTAACTTAATTCATGTTTGTCACTTGCTTATTCAAATTATATCATAATTTGTATGTTTTATTGCAGTACAACAGCAAGGAATAGTTGACATAGAAGATGGCAGAGTACCAAACAGCATACCAGGCTCTAACCTCCTATGATGATGAGGATACTGATGATAATGACCTTCCAATAAACGACCATGATGTAATGATACATGTGGCTCCAGAGAGTAGCAAAGGTTGGCAAGAGTATTTATTGTTTTAATGATTTTTTTCGAAAAGAAGAGACTGATTGGTAACTTGTACAATATCAATTGCTGTTAAAAATGTATGATTGTTTTCTGTTGTAAATTTGTCATATTTCTCTTCCCAACCCCTTTATGGTTCTGTGGAAATAAGGTTGAACCCAACTGACAGCCTAACCAGTCACTTTGTGAGAAAGGAAATCTGATATCTTCATAATGTTTCCTTACTTAACTGCTTATACTTGTGTTTTACCACATAAGTGCTCTCCTACTATTGTTGCCATACTGCAGATCATTAGCAATCAGGTTTAATTGTATAATTTTTGAATGATAATATGGCCACATTTTTATAACTTATCCTATCTCACAATATGCATTTCGTCCTTCTTTGATCCTTGTGTGGATAAAACAACACCTCACCAAAACACTTCCATAGTTACCATCACCAACAATAGTGCATGCAAGGCATGAATCCCATGCAGCCTGAGCACATAACATCACCAGTTAACTCAATCTCATTCTAATCGCTCACATTTGGTGATGTTTCATTTATTATCGAGGCAATGAATTGCGACATGAACTTCACATTCAGCCTCTGTTACACATCCAACCATAGACCAATCGGAAGACATCATGTCGGAACCATGACAGAAGAAACTTGATTTTACCGGCGCAGTAAATGATCGCGCAGCTGATGGCCTGCAACGGGAGAGAAATGACAGGTGAGTTCAGCCTCGGCCACACTGACCTGGCAGACAATAGGTTTTCTCCACTACTAATGAAATTATAATGAATAATTTCTGGCAGTAATTTACAATTAAATAATTCCTTTAGCCTCTTCATGACTGCCAATTTGTGTTTCAGTGGAACAAGTTGCTTAAAAAATTGCAAGTCTACAGGCTTACTATGACTGTGAGCTACGGAAGATCATTCAGTCTGAGAAAATTGGAACTGGTGTTGATGATGTTTACCATTCATCTTCTGAGTTATTCGGAGCTCTGGACCCCTTCTTGAGATGTCATGTGCAGCAAAGACCTTTTCCAAACAATCTGGTCATAGTCAGTGATATGGTTGTCTACCTAAGTTATAATTTCATAGCATATGCAGTCAGGCCTCAAAGTGTGACTAAAACGGTTGCCAATGCTACCTTAATTTCAATTTGTCTACTGTCTAAAATTCAGAGATAGCCAAATGCATACCTTGAAAAATATCTTGTGGAGACTAATTTCTATTGCTACACATATGTAGACACAAAAATAAATAACAGCTGACCTTGGAAAACATGTCTGCTACTAACTGTACTCGCAAATAATTCCTCCTAAAGTCAACAATGAATCGAAATGCATAAATATTAATGTAATTAGTGTTTTATTTTAGTTGATGGTTTATTGGATAAGCAAGGATATACCTATATGATCTAGTCACATAAATTGTTCGAGTCACAAATAACAAAACTCAAGTACAGCATGTTCAGTTTCCACTAATATACAATTCCAAGACTAGTGCTATGACTTGTACATGTAATAGTTATTTGATAAAAGAAAATTTCAAATGTCTTTGGCTACCAACAATATTGGCTTGACTTCTTGATTTTACCACTGGCTACCTGGAAAAAAATACTTGTAGCCTTATGGCTACTAGGTAAAAATTTAAACTTTGAGGCCTGCTGCAGGCTTAAATACCACAATCTGACTATTGCTTAACTCATTTAATGAGACCGTTTCCTGGCAGCCGATCAGGACTGATTTCAGCAGTCACAGAACTGAATATTCCTGACCCAACTCATGACCAAACTCTTGATCTGTCTCAGCTTTCTCAACACCCGTTCAATACCTATCTTACATCCGAGCAGGCTTCCTTCCACGGGAAGGTCTACTCTGCCCCACAGAAGATTGTTTTGCTGCTATGACTCGCACGATCACCGAGGCCCTCACCCTGCCGACTGCATGATCAGATGGTGGATGTCCCTCCTTGGAAGACTTACCTCACTTCAGGATTTGACTCACAGGGGCTGATTATGATTAAGAGCTCTACAAGCATCTGAGACCATCCACTAGACTCACCAACTCCTCCGTTCTTATTGCCACCACAGTTGTGGCCTACATACAGAAGCAGGGCAGAACCAAGTCCACCTCTCTGATGATGGAGACCTCATATTTCTTCAACTTGGCCGACTCATTTCCTTTGCCGGATGCAAACATATTCCAGAGAAATTGAACATCCCATTCTGAGCCTGATCTCTTTGGATCAGTTTACATGATGAAAGCACAAGGATTATTGGATACTGCTGTCAACTATACAGGGAATGTACTAGAGAGAGAACCCGCCTTTTCCCTCTGGTATATTCTGGCATTGATGTAATAGAGGAAGATGATCCTTAAGAAATATCGAACAATAGTTATCATTCTTTGTAATTCTAAGAATACTACCTTCATTACATCAAAAGTACTCTCTGCCACCTCACCTATAGTAGGCTGATGTTTTGGGGAAAGAAGTAAAGGTTTTCACGCCTTGTGCACGTAAGCTGTGAGCTGCCAGTGCTTTCGGGACAACTATTATTGTATAGTTGACAGTGAAGAGGATCCCAGTTGAAAATCTGAAAGTTTTAGTGTGGTGTGACTGCACCCAAAGTATAGGATTTATGGCAGTGATTTTATAGAGGTAGTATTCTTAGAATTATAAACAATGATAACTACTGTTTGATAATTATTCAATTTCTTGTAAAGATTACTGTTTTAAGCTCACCTGAATGAAGTATAATGAGTTTATATCAATGCATAATTGTCCGGCATCAGGGGAGCAGGTCAAAAGTCAAAAGTCAAAACGGGCACAACTCATAGTCATAACAGACAGACAGTTTATTCAGTAACTTAGGCATCAAGGCCCAAAGTACAATGCAGACTGGATATTAACATTTGTCACATAGTCATAATGGCCACAACAAAAAAGTCATAATGGTCACACATAAAATACATAAAATAAAAAAGACAAGCTCAAGTATTGTGTCACATTAATGGTATTATATACATTGTATCACAGTTCTTAACATTTACCCTGTACCATAGGCACACAGTTCTTAATTCAGCACTGACTCAGTACTACACAAGTGATTGCACAGTTCTATTTCACAGTTCCATATCGCATATTAAACCCTTGGTCCATGGTTTGAAGCACATATATTCAGCAGCTCAGATGGTGTTATGTCGACTTCCTTGTACATTCTCCAGGCCGCGAAGATTTCTTCTTGCTGATTTGTAGCATTCTAGTTGATGTTGCAGCGGAGGTTGCCAGCTTGCATCTGGGGGACCTGAAGCCCAAGGAGAGATCCCACCTTGTGTAGGATTAGTTTGAAATATAAAAATTGAAAGGTTTCCTCATTAGGATAAAAGTTCATTTATGTTTTCACAACAGATTGGTACACTGGTCAGTACAGAGATCATAGTAAATTGATGAGATTGGTTAAAACAACATGCGAACTCTACTGGAAGATATTACAATGTAATACAGAGCTACAGATAAGCGTATTCGCATAAAATACCCCACTGCACCCCCAAATATTCAAAACCGAATTACATTCAATTAATTTGCATACAGGAATGCATGTATAAAACGAAAAAAATGTTAAAAACAGCATGAGTAAATACCCAGTGAAGCTTTTTCAGCATGCGTACAATGGAGCTAATTTCCAAAACACACTTACGAGCTAATTTACTTTCGGAGTCAAGCCTATATTTAGAACCGTTATATACATCTGAAACATTATTTCATTTTGTTAAAATCTCAAAATGTTTACTCATTTTGGAAAATAACGAATAGAGTGATGAATAGATGAGTGAAAAAATATTGTGTACCCAATGAAAAATGTAATAAACAAATTAAAAAAGAAACCGTCAAGTAAACACACTATTGCTCGAAAAGTTTTCTGGAGCTCTGGTAATAACAACATCAAACATGTATACTCTGTACGGTTCACTCCCAATTGTCAGACATCCCATTTGTCAGACAACCCATTCATCAGACAGACAAGTCAAGTGTGACCAGTGTGACTGCCTGTCTCACCTACTAATTACTGAGCTACTCCATACTGTGGGCAGAGTAAGCTACCCCAACTCGTTTAGTGATACAGATCAACCAGATTATGATTGTGTTGTTGCTTGTTGTTGTTGCATTAAGTGTTCAAGAGGTCGCCTTCTGCCTAAGCTATTTCGGCTGACCCGTCCCTCTTTGGGACTCATGTGTGTGAGTAGGGTACACATATCTATTGTGAGTTTGGTATTCAAAATAATTTCTGTTTTTGTATTGATATGATTTCTATTTTCGTATATTGATATAATTTCATTTTTATCTTTGGCTGCTCTGTTTATATACTTTTGAGCAGCTGTCCATCTCTCAGAAATAGAGTTAGTTTGGCCTTTGCTATTGCATCTTTTGGCTTTGGGAGATCTATGACAGAGAGCAGATCTAACTGCAATTCTTGTTTTAACCGAGCCAGGAATGGGGTGTGGTCTTGACATTCCAGTAACACGTGAGCAATGGATTCAGGTTGATTGCAAGATGAAAAAACCTTGTCATAGTGCTTTTTGTGACCGAGTCTGAGGCATGAGATGGCAATTTTAACTTTCCTTTCATTTGAGTATGAGTTTGGCTTTTGATGGATCTTGGGTTGAATTTTGTGTAGCCATCTTCCAATCTTACTTGTGCCCACTGGCCCACTTTGGACTATAGAGGCTTTGATTTTGCTTTTTCTTGGATCCATCAGTGTATATATATGGGCCCAGCTGTCCCAAGTAGTTTGAATTTTAGTGATAGCTACTGATTGTAGTAGGGTTGGGTTTTCTTTTTTAGTGACTTCTAGTCCAGGGAAGGTGTCACCCTTTGTAGTGACTTTCTGGTGGCTGAATGTCATTACAATTGTCACTTCGGATTAGTTCACATACTAATACCCCAGATGGTTTTAGTGAGGGATTTTTCAGAGCTAGGGCTTCATCTCGAGT